TTGCCGCGAAAGCGGCCCTGCTTCCCTTTGAGGCGTTGCACCAGACCACGACCGGGTTTCTTCGGCTGGAAACATTATAAAGACAATAATTTATAACGTCCTTATTTACTATCTTTTAAGCAGGGTGTCGCGAATTATGTCGTGATTTAGTATGTTTTGTAATATAAAGCATTAAAAGCAATAAATTTAGTCTGTTACTGAGAGTAGGAACTAGCACGCCAGTCCAGGAATCTCAAATTTTGAAGGTGAGATATCAGGCATTTGCTGGGAGTGCACTCGGTGGTTGGCACTACAGTTGGTAAGTTTGCACAACGTTTGTTACCATCGAGTATATAACCAGAAATAGAGACTAAATAATTCATTTTTTTGCCATACGTTCCTGGAACTCATCAGTCATAGATCACTTATAAATATCAAGTCTCGTTTGCACTGAAATTACAAATTAAAAAGCTGAAATAGTACAGCGTCAACAACTGACTAAAAATATTCTGCAGTCGCCACTGGTGTAAAATGTGAATCTTCGACTAGCTTCAGCTGTCGCAGTCGCCCACTGCGATCGGTACCTCATGTTACAGACTACTAACATTAAAAACCGCGTTGATGTCATAGGTCAATTTTTCCTTCTATTTTCCAAGTCTTATTAGAGCTGTGTGATTGGTCGGTTTCAATGTTGTTCTGAATTTCATGTGACTTGAAAGTCAATTGATCAATTTGAACTTCCTATTGTGTATTAAAAACACACATAAACTAAGTTTCGTTGAAGGAATCCAAGTGGTTGCTCTTAGCACCTGCCGCTTCATGCATAAGAATCGGTATTACTTAATACTTACTTGCATGGAGAGCGGAATGACTTAATGTTTTCTTTAATGGAGAGCGGCAAGAGTTGCAACTGACCTGCATGGAGAGCGGTATGCCGGACATCTCGCTGTTGATGTACAGCGCCACGTGTAGCTGAAGGTAGTCCCAGTCTTCTTGCACCAGCTCGCTCTTACCGCCGCTGGCAATGTGCCGCCCGATCACGTCGTTGATCAAGAGAATTTCAGACTGCTTCATAGTCAGGTCGTCTTCGTTACTGTATAGATTAAGTTAGAGTCAAGTAAATTTGTGACAAAGTTTTAATGACAAAGTTCTTAGTGACAAAGTTTTAATTGTTTAAATATTACAATACAACTACATCGATATGGCGTTAGGCATTCATGGAAAAAGATACCGCAGCACCAACCAATCTGTCGGCGCCTTCGAGTACTAACTGGCTAGAGTGGCTGGCGTGACGTATTCCCAAAAACAATGATTGAAATTGTTTTGAGTTCAGCGAAAATGATAGCGTTGTCTATACTTTTCTTCTTAGGGTGCGCACAGATGTGGTGAATGTGCCACGTACGCGCTGGATGTGCTCTGCGCCGAGCTGCTAACGCACTGCATGCGTGCAGTTAAATAAATGTTAATGTATGTGTAGCACGAACGGCACGCGAACAGGCGCAAGTCAGATCTGTACGCACCGTTAGGTATGGTAACACAATCAATAAATATTATCAAACAAAATGTATATATTTTTTATAATATATAATCTGCTACCTGCATGTCCCTTTGTGTGTTTTAACAGAAATAAATCAAATTTTTCTTATCTCTCAACTGGTCGCTGGAAAACCAGACTTAAGAACATTTAGCGAAGATATCTTAACCACTTTGACAAAAGAACAGATATAATCAATTCCAAGGTGTCTACTCACGTGCCCGCCTTGATCTCTGAAACGACGCTGGGACGTATGCAAAGCGGTGGCACGGGCAGGCGAGTGAGAATGAGGTCCTCCGGCCGCGACAACCTTGCGCACATGCCCAAAAGGGGGATGTCTTCCTCCGGAATGCGTCGGTACAGGTTTAAAACCTAATCAACGACAATTGTAAAGTCAGCATTTACTTGGATCTTTTTTCGAAGGATTTTTTATTACTCGAATAGATTTAAAAAACAAAATTGTAAAATCTGTGAATCTTATTACTAGTGATCAGAATAAGTAGAGAATATTTGCCTAAATTTCAAGTAATACACATAGTGTAAACTAAATTCAAACTCAAGGTGAAAATAGTCTTTATTTCATAGGTAAGCCGATACACTTGAAATCGTTACATTGATTACACTCTACTGCTCATTCATATAGCAGTAGAGTTCCTAGTAACTATTTCTGCCGCCAAGCAGTAATGTGAGCATCACTGCGTTCCGGTTTAGAATGGTAAGGGTGCTGGTGAAATTACAGGCACATAGGACTTGTCAACTTATGTTTCAAGGTGACGGGCGCGGTGGCAATGCTCCTAAGATCCTTGCGATTTAAAGCTTTGAGTGGCATTGCAACTGTTATGGATGGGCGTGTCGCTTAGCACCATTGCCTCATTGAGTCACGAGTGGCTTTATCTTATAGAAATAAGAGACCGACTGAAGGGAATGTGAAAAGAAGATCAATAAAGCTCACCTCTAAAGGACTTAATTCAATAATCAATCCGCTATTAATCATGCCAGCGAGTTCCTTATTAGATTCCACAGCCTCGTTGAATCCTCTTAATACTTTCTGCACCACTGGGTCACTGTGTTTCTTCGTTCTGTACTTGTCATGGATTATTTTCAGTATACCTGTATGGGTAAGGAAAGTACATTATACCGCTAGCAATTTATCATGTAGACAAAACTAGGCTGAATGGGCATTCCTACCAAAGCCTATCAAAGCGCTTACCAAAGCGCATTGACCTACCAATAAATGGACGTCGGGTTCGCGCTAAAAAGTGTCCGCACCTATAGGGCGTTAAAATTGTATACAGAGCGTCAATCGCACAACAGTCTTCGTTTGTCGACTGACAGCGTGATTGACAATCATGCAGTACTATATAATAACAAAAAGTAAAAATTACTGCAGTAAAGTGTAAAAACATGATTTTGTATCATATTTCCAGTAAAGAAACCTACTGTATTATCACAGTTCTCATTTAAAAGTGTTATTTTGTTATTTTGTGCAGTTTTTATAGTATTTAATTTATATATAAATTACAAAAGCACACAAAATAATCAAATAGCTAACTGTCCTTTTTCTACACATTTCATGCGCAAAAGGTGGAAAGAGACCCATTACGTCAACTTCAAGAAGCTTATATAAACTTGTTGGTCATTTTCAATTGTTTGTACCACAAACGATTGAAATATTTGGAACAAAGAAACTATAGAGTCGTGTTGATTTTAATCTTAATTTTTAAAATGACTTTTTATTAAACGTTAGCAATAACTAACAAAATGTTGGGATTATCTATCAGAAGTGAGAAAATACATTTGCCCGAAATAACGTTAACTCGAATTTTCATAATGTCAAATGTTTTAGGAAGATTACGGGAAACTTGCGGGAGAAAAACCTGGGACCACTGCGTGGCAGTCCGGCAAGGTAACCATTCGGCCACCGAGGCAGTTAAAATGAGGAATGTATATGTTATACAAATACAATTGTGAGTATTTAATTTCTATTTCACGACCCCATAAACGAGATACTAATTCGCGATTCTGGTATGAAAATATCAGTACGTAAGTACTACATTTGACAATGGTTATTTTAATACAGCACAGGAAATTACTGTCACGAATATCAAATTTTTTTCAAATTATGTTTACAACCTGTAGGTACAACTAAAGTATATAACAACCCTACGCTCCGAGTGAAGTGTCAGGCGTTTACGTGCCGAGCTGGCGGGAAAACGAAAAATCCTCTGTATAGAATGTGTAGTGACTATAATTGTATTCGAAATGTTCTCGATATTTTCGGTGGTTTTTTGTCCTCAGCTGTGTGCACGTAAAATTTATTCAAAAAAGTAAGTAATCACTTTTTTGCATATTTTTTTGTTTTTAAATATCCAAGTTACATTCTTCATTTGTTTTTTTCTAATTAGTTTGTAAATAGAAATTGGGCTATCCGAGTCTAAATTAGTTCGTACGTGGGGCGCATTATAAGTTTCCGGAATTAATAAGAAAAAAATACTATAAATGGTCAGAAATTAATTTATTGTTTCTCAAAATATTATCCGTTAGCGTTAATGCACTTTTTCACACGAATGAACCAATTTTTAAAACATTTATGCCACTTCTCCGTGACAATCTCTGAAACATATTTTTCATACTCTTCGACAGCCTCTTCAGGTGATGAAAATCGTTGACCGCGTAACTGGTTCTTAATTTTTGGAAATGAATAAAAGTCACAAGGTACCAGGTCGGGACTGTACGCGGGATGGCTCATAAGGTCAACGTTGTTCACCTTCAAAAATTGATTTGTCTGTCTGGCCGTGTGAGGGCTGGCATCATTGTGGTGCAAGATGATACAGCGTTTACGGTTATTTTTACGGAGTTTCTCAATAACGTCCGGCAAACAAATGATCGTGTACCAATCACTATTACACGGTACAACGATTCTCCAAAGCTACGTGTCCAGTTTTATTAAAAAAAGAAGCAATCATCCGCTTAAAGGCATTTTGCACGCGCGCCACTTTGGTTGGTTTCGGCTCATCTCGAAAGTCCCATAGGCTCGATTGCTGCCTTGTTTTGCGATCGTAACTATAAATCCATGTTTCGTCACCTGTTACTATGTCCCACACCAAATTTGACGCCCCTTCCTTGAATCTAGTAAGCATGGCATTGTACCAAGTGACGCGATCCGTTTTTTGAGCCTCAGTCAAATTGTGTGGGATCCACCGAGAGCACAGCTTTTTCACACCCAAATGTCTATGTAGTATTGATTGTATTTGACTTAGGCCTATGCCTAAAGATGCCCGAATGTCATTGGTATGTCACATGCCTTTCTGTTTCGATCGAGATTCACAGTACCGCGTTTGAATTCTCCAAACCAGCTATAAATAGTCGTCTTGCATGGTACTCCGCTGAGCTGTTAAATTACACTTAAAGTCGTAGAATATCATACTACGAAAATTTTCACGAGTTAAATCCATGGTGATGTAGACAACCAATTTCTAAAATGACGCCACAATTTAAAAACAAGTGATAGCCAGATGAAACAAACTGTATTCTACAGCCAAAGAGTTCCATTTTGAAATGTTGTAATTACTATTTAAATATTGTTTATGTTAGTGGCCAGTTCCGGAAACTTATAGTGCGCCCTATGTAAGAAGATTTACGTGAAAATTATACGCATGTTGTGCTTACATCTAGTAGGTTCCATTGTATTCGAATTGTATTTAGGTATGTCTAATTAAGACTGATAACTCTGTGACCAGTTTTGTAAGAAAAATAAAAAAAAATCATATTACCCGCAGGACTTTTTTTCACAACGCCATTCAAAGCTTCGCAATAAGGACACTTGGTGCAGGTCTTGGCTTTTTTAAGTACTGCAGCTCGTAAGCTCTTTTTGTGCAAGTACGAGAGGTCCGGGTTCATGAATTTCCGACGAAATGATTTTTTGATTGTCTCCTGCAACATCACCTGGGCACATTCCTGTAATAGAGCAATTTGACGTTATTGTTACGAGCAATTTCTTTCTAACACGTTATTAATGAAAGCAGTAGTAGCTCTATGGGAGATTGGTTGCTTCTCAATAGATAATACCATTCATTTATTTTTATTTTTAATAATTGTTTTTTTTATTTTTGAGTAACAGTTATTTATTACCAACTAAGCCACGGGACGAATCAGCGGACCTCACGATTTTTTCTATGTGCATGCGTCGTATCTTTGTATTTGGTTCTATGAGAAATCTATGAAAGTTTTATCACTCAGTTAGATATCTTTACAGTTACCAGTCCTGGCGAGAGATGTCGCTATTCACTGTATTTTACATTTTTATTGAATTGATATTCAATTTTTTTTTTGTGAAATTACGATCCGGCCGGATTCGAACCGACGTCTTCTAGCTTACCGTGCCAGACCCCTATACCAACTAAGCATCCGGCCGAATCGAAGGAATTTTTTCTGAGTGATCTTTGTATTAATAAATATAACAAACTAGTGGAGTAATTTCACAAAAAAAAATTGAATATGAATTCAATAAAAATTTAAAAAAGTTATTTATTACGTTTCAAATTTTAATTGAATAATTCTGAAGGACTGACTTAATCAATTATTATTATTATATTGATTTTTAATGAATATTACATATGACTCCCATGATAAGAATTTATTTCTTTGTGAAATTACTCCACTAAATTGTTATAATTATTAATACACTTTCAATTCAGCAATTCAGCACTTGGTTCGATGTGTCTTTGGAGGTTGAGGCATGCCGATAGCATATGAGGTATTAAAATTAATGACTAACTTATTGTCCAATAATATTAACAAAACACTTCAATGGATACCATCACATATCGGTCTTCTAGGAAACGAAGTAGCAGACAGACTAGAAAGGGAGACTATTTCTGAGCCGTTGGAACCATCAGGTATGCCCTTTGCCACAGAACTTATCCTATTTGTAAGGGACCTAAATATGGATCAATGGGCTAAGAGCTATGATGAGATATCTGTGACAAGGGGTATATGGTACAAAACTATCCAATTGCGTCCTCCAAGAAAGCCCTGGTTCTAGAAGGGTAGACTATCCAAGTCACTGTTAATAATTGCTCTTAGACTGCGTTCTGGTCACATTCCATTAAATAAGTTTTACTATTTCATGAGAAGGGCAGAATCCCCTCAATGCCAATTCTGTAACAAGTTGGAGGACATGCTTCATTTGATGGAATGTGATCGGTATGTGGGCTGTCGAGCCCAATATCAATTGAAGGACATTGGTCAGGTCCTATGTGAGGTCTTGCTTTCTGATGAGGAGCAATACCTTACATGGGAGTAATGACAGACAAAATAGGAGACTTATTTATATGTAAACGTACATTACGAGGCCGACATAAACGTCCGAACATTTCAGGCCTCTTAAAACTAGATTTAAAAAAACTGAGTGGCACTGCAACTGTTATGGATAAATGTCGCTTACCACCAGTCACATGAAAAAATCACACAAAAGAACAGCTAAAAAGTTGAAATTCTCAATTATGTATCTCTTACCTTGCATATGGTCTGTAGTATGGTGATGATAGAGCGGAAGTAGCCCACATGGAACACAGGTAGCGCCAGTTCGATGTACCCATAGTGGCCAACACAGTCAGCCAGTCCCAGACCACATGTTTCACAATTTGCGTCCTTCTGGTTTGTGCCCTAGAATCAGAATCATATTTAAACTTTTATAAACGGAATAGGATGCCGGGGGAGAGAGATGGGCTGTGGGTTAATACTCAATCAACCCACCGGGTTTAATCCATTTGAATAAAAAATGAGAGGTCTTGAGTACTGTCAAGAAATGCAAGCCACAATACTTTAGTCATATAATGCGTAATGATAAATACAACCTGATGCAATTACTCAAGGAAAAATCCAGGGAAAACGGCTACCTGGAAGAAGACATACTTAGTGGCTTAAGAGTCTCTGGTCGTGTTTAACCTGAGCACAAGACCTTTGTTCTGTGCAGCTGTGCCTAAAATACAGATAACCCTAATGATAGCCAACTATCAGTATAAGATGGCACATTCAAGAAGAAGAATTTAGTACTGAAAGAAATTACTGACGTTACTAAATTTATTTACGATATACCTACAGACGGAATGCACTAACATTAGGAGGAAGTTGATATTAATAGGTCAGAGGAATTGAATAAAAATAATGTCCCAGACAACCACAGCCTGGTCTCAAAATAGAGAAGTACTTTATGTGTACTTTATGGAGCAGAGGAACGTAATTTATCTTGTTGCCCTTCAGAATGAACACTCAGACCAGATCCAATTAAGAAATGTTCGTTTCCAAAAGTTGTACCGGAAATCGACCCCGGGACCTCTTCATCCAGTGCCCATAGTGAAAACTGTACGGCAATCAAATTCTTTGTTCAATAGAATCAAAACTTACCATTCGCCGGTCAAGTACGCCATATCTGGCTGGTATCCGCTGGCCATCCTGTGCATATAGGTTCTTAGTAATGACTTGGATATGTGCCGCCTGCTGAATATCCGACGCACTGTCTACATTGAAGGTAACATGCGATCTGTAACATGGTCAAGAAAAAGAAATTAAATTCACGTCTTCTATGGTCTAAACGATATTTTGATGATAAAGAGAGAATCGAAGAAGGTATAATAAAAGCCACGACAAATAAATTACGCGGTTTTTCAATAATAAAATAGAGTCCATTAAGTTTTAAAAGCCTAGTCAAAATGTAAACATAACCTCACTTACATCTTTCTCCCGACGTACGTTTCACGGTACTGTTCCTTCGGCATGTTGATTATTCACCTAAGAATCCATAACAAAATGAATTATCCTAATTGTTAATGGTACAACCTTTAATTTTTACAAATACTAAATGTTCAACACATGATAATTTTGACATCTCTAAAACGCGATCAATTAAAAAAAAAGCGCGTAAACTTATGAAAATTCAAATATTACGTACCACAGTTAAAATAAAGAAAGGAACTATTCTTTAAAGTTACAAAAAGTGTTGGTGTGGTATGTGCCGTGACGTCATCCGAAACAAGTAGATAGTAGTTTTTGTGAACGTGACTGTAAAATAATGTGTCTACATCTCAAAATAACAAAAATACTAAATGCTGAAATAATTTTACAAAATATTGTGTTTTATCGTGAAAAAATACAATTCTTAAATAAAGTAGCATGCAGTGTTGTAAAGACGTAAAAACAACCTTTGCTTATACGTTCACCCTACCTGCGTAAGGTAAAAGCAGACAAGTTTAGTTTCTAGCGCGTTGGATTAATGTTGGATTATGGAAAAAATTCCATTTTGGAAAATTAACATTTTTCAGAAAAAAAAATTCTTTGACATCTGTCAAAAGTCGAAGGTAGTGAACGTTGACACCTGTCAAAAGTCGAAGACAAACGAAACGATTGACCAATAAAAAGATTTTTTACCTACGATTCTTTTTTCGCTTTGTCCAATCATTTTAAATCTCGTTTTACATTAACTTGCTTTTAGCTTGCTTTTTTAAAATTTGAATTTATGATTCACCCAAAATTTTTATTTACTTCAAAATATATACAGGGTGACAGGTTTAACGAGATAAATATTTAAAGAGGCAAACGAGTAGCTGATATCTAATCCGGATATGTAACAAGAATCACCCCTAAACATAAGAAAAAAGAATGTCGTGCCATTTTACAAATGCTAACATACTCTTTATTTGAACCAATCTATGAAACAGAACAGCTGAGCGGTAGGAAATTGAACTCCCGCGTGTCAAGTCTTCCTACTTAAACAGTACATTAAAAATAATTCAATTTTCCCTTCATACCTTGCTTAGGACAGATAAAATTGAGTCCTAGTATCATGTGTAGGATGGAGCACGCCGACTAAGGAACGTTTCTCGGTAACTTAGGACCTTAGCACGCCTAATAACATCATTTGCACAATATACCATTACGTAACACCGCATCAGGGGCCAATACGAATTAGGCATCATTATGAACGTCACTGGACTCCACTGAACTACACAGTAAATGCACCGGTCCCGTCTACACAAGAGCGCAAGCAAAATAAAGAATATTCCTTATAAGGGGAAATCGAACTAACCAGGCGATAGCGAGTAGCCAGCGCTTCAACGAGCACGCGCGCGAAACCGTAGCGAGTACTCGCTTCATGTTCGATCTTGCACAGTCTATTACAAAATATTAGAGGCAGTATTTTCCTTTAAGAAAAACATGTAATAATAATGTTGTATTTTTTACATATTCGTATGGGAATGGTATGGGTATCAGATCAGCTACTCATTCGCCTCTTTAAATATTTATCTCGTTCAACCTCTCACCCTGTATATTTGAACGTAAGACATAATATGAGCATTGGAATTATATTTTCCAAATAGTCAGAAATTATTAACAATAGCATATCGTTAAGATAATAGACAACTATAACATTGGGTTAAGATTATTTTAGGTTGAAACACGAATTAGAAAACGTTGAGATTGCCAATCGTTTAATCTGTGCACCACCACTGACAATTTTGAAATACTTATTATTTATTGCCATGGTGATGGCGAGAATAGTGCTGAGGCTCTAGAGATGTGCTCAACACTCCTCCTCAAATGACAACTAAACATTTGTTTAATTTGCTATAAAAGCGCAATTTTTAACAAGTATAATACCTACACAAAATAATTTGCGCGATTTTGCAAAACAGTACACTTCAGCATAAAAATAATCATTATTTTAAAATATTATTCTCATTTGTTACATATTAAAAACTAAATCAAACAATTATTACACAACATAAAAATCTTTTCTTACTTTCACAAAACTTATACTGTCCATGTTACTCTCCTCATAAATGATAACATGCTAAATTGGTGCAACATTTGTCGTTTACTTAACAACATATAAAATTAACAACCTGTTTATGAAAGTATAAAACTTATCTTTACACAAAGTTTTCGTCATCATGTCAGCCAAGTTTTCTGCAGATGTAATGTATTCAATGTTTAAAACATTACTCGCTACTAAATTCTTTAAAAAATGTACTCTTATGTCAATGTGTTTTGTTCGTTTAGAGTTTTCATAATTTAGATATAGCTCCTAAATTATCTACAAGAAGTATAGCATTTTCCTTGCATCCTAAATGTTCGCTAATTCCTTTTAAATTAACGAGTTCCTGAGCTACAAACGCCGCCGCTATATATTCCGACTCAGCGGACGATAATACATATTGTTGTTTCTTGGAAAATCAAGCGATAGGATTTTCTCCTTGTAAAATTATGCCACTGCTTACATTTTTTCTATCATTTTTATCTCCTGCCCAGTCTGCATCAGAAAATCCATATAGGTTTAAATCAAGTGTCTTTGTGAAAATTAGTCCAATTTCCTTAGCTTCCTTTAAATAGTGAATAACTCTCTTCCCAGCTTTCCATAGTTCTTAATTTGGCTTATCTAAATCTACTGAGATATGATACTACAAAAGACAAGTCCGGTCTTGTAGTTACCGTCAGATACATTAGACTACCTATTAATTCTCTGTAAGGCACATCCAGTCTACTTGTATCATTATTATTTATAAGTATATTATAGTTCCTTTCCATAGGTGTTTTAATTCCTTTACATTGAGTCATTTTCAATTTTTCTAACATCTTTTCCATCATTTTAGTTTGTTTTACCACTAGAGTATTTTCATTTCTTTCTATTTCCATTCCTAAAAAATTCTTCATGTATCCTAATTCTTTGGCATTCAACCTCTTTTTCAACTCCGTCCTTATCTTTTCATTATTTCTAATTAATATTATATCATCGACATATATTAACATCCAGCAGTCTTCCGTGTAACAAGCAATAGTCATAATCTGAGCGTTCAAAATCATTTATCTTCGCGAACTCATCTATTGTTTCGTTCCAGATTTTAGGAAATTCGACCAATCCATAAAGCGCTCTTTTGAGTTTTAAAACTTTATTTACATGTTCGGTATTTTAATGTATACATTCGATTTCAGTTTTCCATTTAAAAATGCAGTTGGTATGTCCAATTGCAGAATCTTTAGATCTTCTCTTATTGCTTTAGACAGTATCATTGTTATTGTAGTTTGTGTTGCAACAGGTGCATATGTGTTATCTAAAACATCGTCTTTCTTTTGTTGGAACCCTCTTACAACCAGTGTAGCTTTCTTTGTATCATCTTCCTTTTGTTTAAATATCCATTTCGTTTCAATTGCCTTTTTTCCTTCGTGTAGTTCTGTTTCTTCCCATGTTTCGAGTTGTTTTAGTGCATTAAGTTCTTTGTATATTGCTTCTTTCCATTCTGTGCTTTCGATAGCTTCTTTGAAAGAGTTTGGTGCAACACCACATAGACATAAAACCATGTTAGTCTCATAATCTTCCAGTGGTGCCGGAGGTTTTACTTTTAACTTCACGATTGTGTCATTTTTAGTGTCTCAGTTTTCTTTTCATCTGTACTGACAGTCTATACTTTGTTTCTTCGTTTTTACTCTTTTCTTTGACCAAATATTCTTAGTCTAGATGATTTTTTTTCTTATAAAACAATTCACTCGAGGTCTTGAATTTTATAGCCCACGTAGGACATCTATTCAATTGATACGCTGCGCATTGAATGACTTCGCCCCCATTCTCGCATCTTATTCTTTTAACCTTATTTCCTGAATCTGTTTCCAATGTCAGAATATAATTAATCAGCTTCTCAGTTGCATCTGACTTACATTTTAATGAATAAACAACACGGAAATGTAAAAAAATCGTGGATAATAGTCATAAAACATTTCTCACCATTTGATCATGCAGCATCTCGGTGATTATACTTGTCCTCGGCTTTGGCGCTGTCGTGAATGGATTTCGTGTAGCTTTACCTTCCATGCACGGGGTGCAAATTTTATCCTCATTAATAACCTCATTATGTTAAGTCCCTTCCTATTTAAATGCCCTAACGTTTTATGCCATAAGTCATCAATATTATCGTTACTCACATCGCACATTTCAACTCTACATAACTCAACTTTTTTATTCTATACAACTTGTTACATACACCGCTTAAGTAGCAGTTTCTATTAAATATTTGTAAATCGTATTCAGTAAAATTTACTTTAAACCCTGCATCAATTATCTTTGTCACTGAAAATAAATTATGTTATATTTTCGACAATTAAAGTGTCAATGTCAAAATTTATATTTTGGTATTTAATTTTAAGCTTACCTCTTTTGTTTGTAGTTATACATTGGCCATTTACCACATATATTTTCATGCTATGGTCCAAATATATAATATTTGACACATGCCTTTCATATTCTTCATTAACTAAATATTCTGTACATCCAGAGTCAACTATTAATTCTAAACCTCCAGTGTCGCTCACGTTTACCAGTATCTCGTTTAAAACAAACCCAATTTGCGATTTATATTTCTTGTACTTCCGCTGTAGACGCTCGGTGGTGATGGCTAGTAAAACCTCAGTTTCGCCCATATTATTGTTCTCGTCCTTCTCTAAATCCTCTTCCTCGTATAGTATGACGCCCTCTTTGCATTCTTCGACCTCGCTCCGATTCTTTCCTTTGTCCTTGGCCTCGTCCTAGGCCTTCAGCTCTGCACTCGAATAACTTATGTCCTGCTTTCCCGCAAGAATAACAATTGAAAAACGCATTCTCGAATTGTTCTCTGTTTTGTCATTATCGTTTTTCATTTTTGTTTCTGCGTGTAAAAGTCTTGACTTTACAAATTCATAATTTAACTTCTTATCTGTCGCCATCGTTTCTATTGCAGTTATAACTTGGTCGTATGTCTTCGGCATAGACGACAATAAATAACAAATTTGGTTTTCTTCGTCTACTTTCACGTTTATCGCTGCCAAATCATTTATTAAGTCTTCAATTTTCATCAGATGCTCTTGAGGCGACTCGTTGTTTTCCCACTTCAGGGTTATGAGTTTCTTTTTTAAATAAAATCTATTGTATACGCTCTCCTCCTTTCAAGAATTCCCTCGA